GAGTACGTGTTCTGATGTCGTAGGGAAAGCACCTTGCATTTGCTAAAGCTGATGCAGTAAATTTTGAGTTGACCGTTGGTATACCATACCTATGTCACTCTGAGGTCGATGCTGGCGGGATTTAAACTGGATCCTGCGCCAAATCTTGATACCCTTTGCAAACATTAGGAGGTTTGGAGCGAATCCCCCTGCATGGTCATTAGTAAAGACCGAAAATAAACGTGCACCTAATAGTGAACCTTGCAGGATACCAAAACCGACTTGTATGGGGTCCGATCAGGAGCTCTAACCTCCGATCACAAATTGCCGTTGAAGTAGAAAGTTGGCAATCCAACTTAGAACAGGGTCGCCAATCCGTAATGCTGGAGCTTGGAGAGTAGGAGCTGATGGCCTAGACGATCTAAAGCCTTGGAAAAATCCAGGTAGATCACATCAACACCTTCTCTAGCTTCAGCTGCCTCGGTCCAACTACTGCGTGCGATTAGGAAATTTGTTGTGAATGACCGCTGTGGACGGAAGCCATGTTGCTCAGGCGTGATGATGTTACAGTTTTCCAGCTACTACACCAGTGATTCGGTAACTGTGGATTCCACGAGCTTGGAGAGTAAACGAAGAAGGGATACTGAGCGGTAGTTGGAGGGCTCGGTACTGCATTCAACTTTGTGAATCTGAGTTATTATTCCGAGCTTCCACATAGCGGGAACTTGATTCTGGTCAAATTAGCGCTGGGAAAACTGAACTTAAGGTTCTGCTAGTTGAGTGCTGCTGCTTCCAGTGCCTCTGGACCAATGGTATACACACCTGGTGGGCTGTGTTTACTTAGAGGCGTCAGCTTTTGCAATGCAGCTTCTGTGGTAAAGGTGATGAAGGGTTAGTCCTAGAGATGAGACAATAAAGGTTGGAAGATCGCTAGGTGGCAACACCCTCTGAAATGTGGGGCATATTGCATCCGCAGTGCGTTTGCTTCTTCCACAGTCGTTTTTGTTGGGCCATCGGCCGTCCTGAGTGGAGGAAATCCTCGCCTCACCTTTAGTAAGTCGTTGACATGCTTGTACAGCACATTGTTGTTAGCACTGAAAGTTTTTGCGATGTTCTGCTGATATGCGGCTTTGTCTACTCTTGGCAGTTGAGTGAAGTGCCTACGCTGGGCTACGTAGTTGTCCCATGTTTCCGGTGCTGGAGCTTCTCTGTACACTTGCCCTACTGCGTTGCGTACTGTCATCCATTTTCGAATTCTGCTCTTAACGAAAGAAAATGATTTATACTTATTGCAAACTCTTATCTCAGATATCTCTGCAATCAGCTGACTGAAATTGTTGACGAACGCAAACCAGGAGACTTCGGGGGGGTTCTTCGGCAACAAACGTGCAAGTTGTAACGCTGACAAGCTGGGCTAATCGATCGTAGCTTGTGATGGTTCGCACAGTCCCATCGTTCTCATGCCGATATTCCGCATAGCAGACGAAGGTGAAACTGATCATTGAGTGGTCACTGCGACCCAACGGGTAGTCTAAAACCAACATATCAATCATATCCTCCTCGTTGGTGTGCAAAAAGTCCAACACAGATGGCTTGCTACCTGTTCTGAGCCGAGTAGGCAAAGTGATGTGATTGTAAAGAGGAACTGTGATTCCGAGGTCTTGTAGATCCGCTTTGAATTGTTCACCAGTCGTGGCAGGAGTTTCTGAACAATGTATATTGATCACCAATGGTAAGTATGTGATTGTACTTTCGCTGTAAACTGCATCTGAAAGCAGCCACTATGTGGCAGTCGGTTTCGGGTGTGGAGTTTGGGGGCAGTACACCAATATACTAAGTCAAACGTCTCTGGCTTTTAACCGCTAGCGGCACGTAAGTGAGTCAAGGAAATGCGAGTCTGAATCCTTCATGGTTTCACATTGTAAGTCGATTCGGTAATACAGAATTACCCATCATCCTTTTGTGAGCCCATCTTTCCGGATCAGCGACATGCCCGGTTGCGAAACTTCAGTGTCTGTCATTCCCGTGTGCAAGCACGTCTCGGTGATACCCATGACATCATATGACCCGAAAGCTTGGCGATCTTTCAGTTTAGTTAGTTTATTTAAAAGACCCTGAGCATTCGTATACAAGCAAGCCAGTTTCTCGGTCTCTAGGACCCCACAGAGGGGTGAAGGGGTCAAGTGTGGGAGGATGTCGACCGATGGGAGGTCGGCGGGTACTCACTATTTTGATGAGAAGATGACACCTCGTCTGAAACTTAATTTGGTCAACATGCGTCTCAATCTTCGTTTAGGCCTAAGTCAGAGTCGAGTAAAGCAGCACTCAGGCGGAGCTACTCTGTCATGGCGCATAGGTTTGCTGCCACAGGTGCTTTGATATTTGTACTTTGCAAATCTTCTGCGACCTTTAACCGAAATGCAGAAGGCAGACTTTTCCGATTTCTCCGCCATCGATCCAAAACATCGATTGCTGTTTGCTTTGACAGACTGCAAGTTTTAGGATTTTAGGGCCGCATCCTCTATAATTTGGTTACAGTAGTGTCCTAGTGAGTGGCAGCGCCACAATATTATCCAAAGAAAGTGTTTCACGACTGAACCGCCACTGTTTTATATCGTGTTTTCCGGCCTCTTGAACATCGTTGGAAGGATGTTCTGGTACGCTATGTATGAAGATCGTGTTTAGGCGGTCTTGATTGCTGTGTCCCTCTTCGTTGTTTCTTTTTGATTGTCGCGCGCTCCAAGGGACATGAAGATACATGCGTATCCCACAAGATCCGTGTCGTAACGCACTTCTTGAGAGCAAAACGTTTTCTACGTGCTTGAAATTAGGAAGTTCAAGTTGCAATCTAACAGTATTGTCTGAGACAGCGCAAAAGTCAAGGCAATATTGCTAGTGAATAGAATTGTTTCACAAAAGCGCTATAAAAGTAAACGTATCTGTTTGACCTGATCATGTTGCGCTGTTAGACATGTTGGCACGTACGGGTTATGTGGCGATACGTAGGAGAGGGACGGTGTGTTTGGACACAATCTGCATATATAACACTACGTCGGTTAATTTGTCTACTGTTAGGACGAAAACTGTACACCTGTTACATCATCACTTCCGTTTGCATGAATCTAAACTGGCATGCTACAAGCACATTTATCCTTATTAACCAGAATTGATATTTATTTTCTGTACTTTGATCAGCATATTGTTAGCACCGCATGCATGATCGAGGCTGACATTGAAATGTGGCAGTTAGAATCCACTGACCACATGATATTTTGTGCATCACAGATATTGTTAGGATTCCGCATCCGATATGCTCGGTTCGGCTAAGTTCGATTTCGATGTTGAAAAGGTGTCAATCCTCGCTATCTAATCGCATCGGACTCGGCTCCGGGGACAACTCATCCACTTTGGTGAAACCGAATACGCATTTCACTTATACTCTTTTACTCCTCGAATGATCCTGTCATAAAGCTAAAGAGGCACGCATGTCCGGCACATGGGTGACTGCCATGTTCCGACTCCATACCGTCTGAATGCCAACAGGCACCGTATTGCTCTTGTGTTGAGTGTTACTATGACAAGTGGGCAGTAGCAAGTGAATACAACTGGCCTCGAGTGACTTGACGCTTGAGCGAGTGACGGATGCGATAAATATACGCGGTTCCTGCACACTTCCTCCAGCAAACATTGGGTACGTGAGCCAGTGTCCATAACATTCAAATTTCTTTAAGATCCTTTTGTTAGCGGTGGTCTTGTTAGCATGGCGACAACTACCTGTGTGTGGCTTCAGGTTGGGGAAAACTGCTCCCTCAGCTGTGCAGCTAATTGTATGCAGCTATGCGCCTGGCACACTTTAACCAAATAAGCAAATAACACAGTTAGCAATTCAGTGTTGCTCGCCATAACACAATGCACTCCACAGCGCGTTTCCATCTGATACGATCTCATCAAGTACAGATATCAGGCCTGCAACCCTGGACCATTGGGGTGTTATTTGTGACCTCTGCTCCACTAGTAACCGGGTTACGACACGCCACGTTTTCCGCAACAGTGACTCTTCCTTCTGGATTTCTTTACAAATACATGTTCCCTCTTCCATCTGATAGACTAGAAATTGGAGCTCAGTCTTCCAAACTAACGACCGATGACAGATATTTGCTAGCCATCTGGTGGTAGCATGGCGAAGCGAATTTTCTAGCGCTATGCGCAAGTGGTCTGTTAGAGCACAATGTTGTTCATTTGGTTAGAGCAGTCTCACAGTTAAACTGCCAATCAGCTTATAAAACTACAGATAGCTGCAAAACGGCACTGTGCACAAATGAGTTAAATGACATTTGTGCGGTCTGTTTGGATCCAGTTCCACTGGGAGTGCTTCAACCCTACTACCACGTCTTTAGATAGGTGACGTTCCTTACTAGCACAGTTCATCAGTGCTCGCCGATACCATTGTGGGGAGATCAGCATGGGTGTTTCGCACTGAAAGGTTTGCTATTCGGTAAACAATTTGCTCAAAGTGTCGAGGACAGCAGCTTAATTCCTCTGGCATTAGCTGCGGTAATTCAGTATTCTGACAATCCAGTTTTGTTCTGACTGCAGCAGTACAATTTCACCAATCCAAGTGCCCAAAACTCCGTACGTAGGGCAAAGAAGTGTACTCGTATAGCACACAGTGGGTAGAAAAAGGTAACCCGGTCAACAGATAAGCGTCAGCACAACTAAGGGCAGACGTATGATTGACAGCGAAGGCGACTTTTTATGATAGCGATGATAAGAACTTGTTCGTAGCTTCATTGAACAAGTAACAAGAACAATGTTTTATTCGACAGAAAACATGCATCTGCAGGGTGCGGAAATGTCGTTTTGCAACTACACGTGTTCATCTGGGACCAACTGCACACTAACTTTTGGAATGGGCTTTCTGCCTTACTTTGGTTAGATCAGTGACACGTGTTCCCTGACTTCCTCGAAGTTCCGTTTCTCGGACATTTTGCTGTTTTCGTTTGGTCTTGTTCTACCCATTAATGCTGCAATTCCTGAATCAGATTCGGGCAATGTTCCCTTTATTTAAGACGCCAAAGCTGCGTAACGGATTCATGCAATTCACCACGCCCACTTTGCTGGTGTATCCATTTTTCCACAAAATCGGTCAACGTCGGCGTGAAAACATCTGCTTGTTTGAACAGATTCAGGTGTGTGAAGGTTTAAACTTAATTGGCTAGATGATGGATTTTTGCTTCGTTGATTTTATTAGAGAATTGTAGTAATAATTTAGTATTTGATTGAGATTCTATACATCTATACTCAGTCAAATAGTCACTTGCACTTCCGACGAGGCTGCACGCGGCTGTTTCGTCTCTTGGAAACTCGTTCGTCTTGCGCAGCCATCTGCTGACCAGTTACTTTGATCCAGTGGTTTTAATCACAACTCAGCAATTGGTCACTTGTAGAGTTCCGTTCCCTCACCATACAAATAGAATGCGCATTACTGGCGAGTTTCATATGCACGAAACGGCCATCTAGTGGTATTCCGTATTTGTCACTCAGTTTGACTACGACGAGAATTTTTAAACTCAGATCCAAGCCTTTCAGTTCACTGCGCTCTAAAACTATTTGTTCATGAAAATTTGACAGTTAGCGTGGGCTAAAATGTAAGCTTTAGGAAGCAGCAGTATTGGACATGCACCTTACTAATAATAACTATAATACTAATAATAGAGAATGGATTTCAAAACGGCTGGGCAGTTGCTGTTTAACCGGATTCATAACTTGGCTGAACAAGATCTGCTAAACGCAGCTGGTACGATTCGCTTCATAAGCCGAGAGAATGAAAGAACGGGATTTATGGAAACGGGAAAAACATGGGCAAGCACATGACTAATATATTAACCATTAAAGTAGAAATTTCGTTCCCCTGCAGGTCAACTAAAGTTGTTTCCTCCCTGCTAAGTTGAAGTTTCACCATTAGGAGTTTACTTCGAATTGTTTCCATTGCTTGGACATACAAATACTGCGGAGGGTAGATAGGAAGAGGGCTTGGCACAAGACTACATGAACACAGCCTAACCGTTCGTTTTACCGATCTGAACTCCTCAAAATCGATGCAAACAGAAGTCGAAAGATGACAACTTGACCAGGGGCATGCCAGAATACTCAGAAGGGCAAACTTTGGTAGGCACATGAGCTCATGGAAGCCGGGCACTCAAATCAGAACTCGATCAAAATGCGCCTGGACCTCGAAGTCGCTTACGAGGCTCTAAGTACCAGTTCCTTGAAGCCATACCACTGATGCTGCTTAGTCTGGCAACAAAACTTCTTCAAACAAATCATTCAGCTTGGAGTACAAAGCACAAGTCACAGCACTTGCATGCTCCTATCCTTGTGAGCACATTAGCGATATGATCGATCAGGGAGGAAGACACGCAAAACCCACTTAAAATGGAAGTTGCGAAATCAGTTTTAGGTGTTCCTTGCTCGAAATACTGCATCCCACGAATAATTACGTACTTATTTGTACTAGTTAGGTAAATATAGATGGAAAATGACCGTGATGGATTGCAACGAACATTGTCCCATTGAACTAATTGACAGCGTTTTCTCATCATTGCTAATTGCAATCCATCTCGTGGTTTCGTGAAGCAATCCGTGGACCCGGTAAGTGTTTCTAAGTAATCTCCCTAATGAGGCTATACTATTTTATAAATTATTATTCAAAACTGTGCTTCGGCTAAATGTGATCAGCGAAAAATCTCCGCGTCTGTGCTAAGTACTAGTCTAAACCCTAGGCGTTTTGGCACGACCGGGTGTTGATCATAAACGTGACATTTAGGTACCGGCCCACGGCGATTTAAAGTACATCGCAAATTCATTGAGGGCATTAAAAAACTAGAAAGTAACGCACGATTGCTGAGTTAGGAAGAGGATTTTGCTATTCTGTTCTTTAAAGTTGGCTGTGATACTCAAGTTTGGTAAACCCGATGGATAGTTGCATAGTACTGACATAAGTTGACAATCGTTCTGAGGTTTCAACACACCGGACATACACACATCGAGTACTTTGATATCAGTGGTTGACTCTAAGGTGCTAGAGTTCGTACACGTTCCCGGCTGCTGAATAAATCTAACCACACATTTCCCAAGAAAAGTTCTCAATGCTGCGGAGTTAATTTGACTACTGTCATTTCCACCGTTAAAATTTCGTACCCATAGCTCTCTCCGCATTTGACCCGTTCCTATTTCCCTATTAATAGCACATTGAAAGCAGATAGTAACGCAAAAATCCGTTACCATTTCACGTTTAAGGAAAATATTAAAAAGTAAACCAATCGCCTTGTACAAATCTCTAAAGCAAATAATAGCCGAAAAATTCATTTGTTAATCATGCGAAGCGCTACCATCACTCTAGATAGGTTGATTGTTTGGTAGACAACCTTTCTCCCTAATTGTATTGCTCAACCAAAATGATAAGGTGGATACAGGTGTACTTTTCAATTATTGAAGCGCAATGGCTCTAGCGGGCTTATTTGTAGTGATTAAATGAAAAAATCAGCAGTTAAAACGTGCCGTTGATTTGTAATAGTCTGCGGTGCTGTGAATGCAAACCTCTTTGCGCTCATGCAACTATTAGGTAGAGAATCATGTGACATTCTTTGTCAAGTGGAGCACTGCTCTTTAATGATTTCCAACGGGCTGTATGTCGAAGTTTAAATGTTCCGCTTAACCACGTCCGGGAGCTGTAAGTTGCGAGTTATTCCACTCGATCACACAATTTTTCCAATCGCTATTCTTTCTCCGACTAATTAAATGTATGTCCAGGACGAGCCATTTCCAGGGATCAGGTGCAAACCTACTTGGTGAGGTGTTGGCTTCTCCTCCCTTACCGTATTACCTGCATCCAAATAAAGTCAAGCACAATGACCACCGTTACAAAACTGGTGCTCAGACAACGACTTTACATTTTGACGATAATCCCACCAAATTTTTGAAGATTTTCATTTAAGGCCCAAACTGCTACAGGGCTTCCAACCTTAGTATAACCACTGACAACTTTCATTTGACCAAAGGTTTTCCCCTCCATCGGGCCACTACGTTAGAGTCAGCCACTGAGCCAGTTGACATTTGCAACAAGGTAGGCTGATGCGCAAATTACTCTCATGCTAGTTGAGAAGGTCGCCAAGTGTGGTGTTGCACCAGTCTGGGGCGCGCAAATTCAACTAAATGCTATGTAAACTATGTAAATGCACCACGCCTCCTATATTCAGGCATATAGCATAAATGTGTGTTATTTGATGAAGTTGCCACCTGGCATATGGTGCAGTATGCGTATAACTAAGCGAAAATCAGTTCGGGTGTGGAATTAAGCAAATGTTGCGTCGCGGTGGATGAAAGCAGCTAATAATGGAAGTTTCTGAGGAGTAAACGTCTGTCCAGGTCAAAAATGAATGCACACGTCTGCACATAACCTAATAAACACACCAGCCGTATCTCGATAGTTATCATTTCAAAATTACGACTAAAATATAAAATTAACTCTTATATACGAAACTTTTAAATTCGTCCATGAAAACGAGGTCCTGAGGATCTTAGTGATTTGATGGAGAATTAGTGTAACTAATTACAGCGTTGAGAGGACCAACACCGAAACACCCCTACTTTTTAGTTCTTATTCACCTAGTAGACCAGTTGAACGTTCAGGATGATAAGCCTATTCTGCGTGAGACGAACTACGGTGATCTTCAAAGAGGATTGGGTTTTCGCGATCGGAATACAACGGTAGCAGTCAATAGATCCACTGTATTAACTCTATTATGAAAATAAAACAACAAACAAACTTAACCTACAGCTAGCGTGGAATGCCCTGTTTGCAGTGACGCCTTCACTGCTTTAGTATTTGTATTTAGAGCACTTCCAACTCTGCAGCGATGTATAAATGAAAAGGAATAACTAGGTGAGCTGTTCGCAACACACAGTTCCGTTGTGATGTTTAAAATAAAAGCTGCTGCCATGATACTCTCCGTAAGACTATAATGGATGGCAATGGCTTTGCATGTGGATTAGTGTTATCGGTGGCTCTGCCAGCACACTTGCTGTACACGATCCAAATTCAGTAGCTTGGTACACATGATCTTCTTGTTTATATCGTGGTGTATAGTGTATAAACTTGGTAAACTTTGTTGTCTGTTAAGAACGGAAGATTTTCAAGCCATTCAGCGTGTAGCAATTGATATTGCCCTTAACATCTACTCTCCAATATCACATAAGTCACTTGAAGTTCGTGCCAGGTATGCCAATGGCAATAATATGGACGAGTATACAAGCGCAACCGCTTCGTAAGGAGATTCACTGTGGCGATACTATGTACATCCACAAAAGCGGATACTTTGCCGACTTTAAACCACAAAGGGCACAGTGACGCCAATTGCGGGGAGTACACCACTTGGCCAGATTATCCTCAACCCGACCACGGCAATATCACCAACGAGCGCATTGCATGTAATGTATACACGGGACATGACACTCTTCTGTACAGGTCGCATAGCAAAAGACTGAGAAGAGTAAAACCGGCATTCCATGTCGTTAGGATAACATTTAACAAAAGCATAGGATTGCACATTTCAGGTTTACACGCCCAAGGTGTAGTCAGAGGTACACAACCCCAGGCTAATTTCAATCGATTCTCCCATCCGGTGTTAAAGCGATTCACCCTGTGACTGACATTTCAGTCTAGCCTGTATTACTTCTTACCAGTCGCTCTGTCAGCCATTTCATATCCATCCGATAAGACACCAGCCGTATGAGCTCTGTTAAAAGAGTGTGTTGTGGTTAGAGATCGAAGTTGAGAAATCCTCCTAAATATTGTCACAGTAAACCTACACATCCACGGTGAACACCACATGATTTGTGTAAAGTCATTGTCATTGTCCTTTACGTCAACCACCAAAGTTAGGTCGTCTCACTTGGAAAAGGTCATTTCACATTCTTTTACAACGCAATGCAATTTCGAGCTCCTACGATGAATTGTAAAAGAAGACTACGGTCAGCTGCCAAATTATCTATCTTACTGATCAAAACTCAATCAAAACGAGCTTGTGTTGCAGACTTTTTCTATTCAAGACAAAATCGAAGGCAGCATTGTAGTCCTAACAATGGAGGCCAGATATAAAGAACTACGACAACTCAGACACTGATTTCGTTGAACTGCCTGGGGGTCGTTTTCACTTTATCTTTGGTGTACTCAGTATAGTGTTTTAGTGTCTCAGTAATGAGTCCGTTCCAACGCATTTGTAACACGACAACATTTTATCTCTTTCAACCCAATTATCCAGTTTAACTTGGTGGTCGAGGTGCTCTTCAACTCCACTACAGTTGAAGACCAAATCAGGTTGATCACACTGATATCCACAGGCGATCTCGAAAATGCCAGTCGGTTATTCTTCCGTCCAGAGCTTTCAACATTCAAGGCGAATCTGGAAAATGGATCCATGCAACTCACCGTATACGTACCGCCGTTATTGCGTAAAGCGATTTTTCCACTGACCAGTCCAGCATCAGTTGCAAGCCAGGTAATGCCTAAGGTCCATGTTTTCACAATATCTTTAATCTACAGTTCATGCATTTTCGGTCTTTTGGCAGCTGTTGCAACGCGATGAAGGGTACTCAACTGTTAGCTCGGACTGACAAGGTAGCACAGAGATTTTCTATAACGAGCGGGGTTTCCACAGCTAGACTGAGTCCAGAACACTCATTTTCACTACTGCTCACAGTGTTCGTCTTAATCATGGAAAGAACACACAACGGTAATCAAAGGTTGTTTCCAAAGAAGCAAGATGAAGCGTTTAAACCGAGAGTGAGAGTAGAAGTAAAACAATGAGACTATCATTGTTTCTTAGCTAGTCAAACTTAAATTATTCTCCGTTTTGTGAGAGTTTACAGCTAACCGTAAAGACGAAGCAACTGGTGCGCATAATGACCAAGTAGATTTCCCGCTTGCGTTAAAATGTATGCCTTCACCAGTGTGGTAGCTCATGATAAAACGAACCCGTAGCTTTATGCTTAAGGATGGAGAGAGGGTCGATGTGAGGTGGGTGCCAAGCAGCATAAGAATGGAATGGCATCATCGGTACGCCGTACCGCTGATTAACTTTTACGCAAGCACCACCAGCCGCATGTGGGATAAGGATACTGCGAAGATCGCCTGCTCCCTACGCAACCTCGAACCCGCTACCCCAAGGTAGGCTTGTGATCGTAAAGCCTACTGGCCTGCAAGCCACATAAGAAGAGACATCATCATCATCATCATACACGTTAGCTAGAGGTGTGGAACACCTCAGCTACTGTGCCGAAATACGCAGAAAAAAGGAGAGAAAAAAAGAATTAAACTGGGCAAGTCGGCTGAGCTACCGGTAACGGATGGGCATCGTTCCGGTAAGCTACCAGCCGGCTATTATGCAGCAAACAAATACTCTACAAAATTAAATGAGGCTAAATAATGAGATCGTGGTTGGAGGGGGAGGCTAAGAGGGATGGAGTGGGACAAAGAAACTCACAGCACGAACGCCACTGAGGTCGGCTCCGCTCCATATCAGCAAGTGTGTCCAAACAAACGTGTTCATCGTCTTTCGGACCCCAACCAAGGAGCCGAGACGCTCCAACCGAGGCCAGCTCAGAAGTGAGGGCCTTCATTCTTCTGGACCAAGTCATCGCTTGGCCACCCCTCCTCTTCTTCCATCCACACCCCCGGCGCGCAAACAACGCACGTCGTGGAAGCCAGTGGGCTGGAATACGCAATACGTGGCCCTGTCATCGGAGCCTGGTGTGTGAAATAACGGTGCTGAGCGGTTCAGTTCCTTTTCCTGTGCCATAAACAAGGCGTCGAACACGCTCGTTGCTCACGCGGTGTTCCCACCAGATGTGAGCTAAATTACGAAGGCGCCGGTGATCAAATGTTACTAGCCTCTTTATATCCGCTGCTTTAAGCGGCCGGGTTTCACAACCGTACAGTAGGGTCGAAAGTACTGCTGCATTGTACACTCTACCCTTCAGGGCAAGAGTGATGTCACGCCGGCGCCATAAGTGACGAAGGTTAGCGAAAGCGCCTCTAGCTTTTGCTATACGATTCGTGATCTCATCTTCAATCCCACGGGCGCTGATACAACTTCCCAGGTAGTTGAATTTTTGAACGACTTCTAGCTGATCCCCACCAAGGGTCAGCGTAGGAGGCGGTCCAGACCAATCTTGGAGAAACGCTTTGCACTTCGAGGGTGCGAAGCAAAGCCCGAAGTGACGGATAGCTAGTGCTAATCTGTCCAGTGCCGCTTGACACATTTGTGAGCTGTCACAGATTAGAGCAATATCATCAGCATACTCTAAGTCAAGAAGTCGTTCTCCTGGGAGTAGCTCCACACCTTCAAAGTCGTGTCCTGTAAACGCGATTACCATGACTTCGTCAACAGCGAAGTTGAAGAGAAAAGGTGACAGCGGGCATCCTTGTCTCACGCCGCTGGAAATATTAAAGGGCGACGACAACTTGCCGTAAGCCCTGACTCTACCCGAGCTACGAGCATATAATGCTCGGATAATATTTATATATTCCTCAGGTACACCTTCTCTGAGTAGACCCATCCAAAGTGCACATTTATCCATCGAATCGAATGCACCTTTGATATCGAGGAACACGACAACGGTGGGCCGCCAATATATGTGACGATGCTCCAATAACTGACGTAAGGTGAACATGTGGGCAATGCAGCCACGACCTCGACGAAATCCGGCTTGCTCTTCATGAATCTGGCTTTCATGAGTGCCAGTCAGTCTGCGAAGGATGACAGAGGCAAGCAATTTGGAGGTGGTGGAGATCAGACTGATTCCTCTATGGCTGCCGCATTCCGATCGTGAGCCTCTCTTGAAAATTGGGACTATGACAGAGCGGCTCCAATCGGTTGGGACAGTTTCCTGCTCCTACATTTTGACTAGTAACTCGTGTAAATCATCCATAAGAGCAGGTCCCCCGAATTTGAAGAGGGCTGGAGGAAGGTCATCAGGTCCCGCGGCTTTATTTAACTTCAACAGTGCGATCTCACGTTCGACTTCTGAGCGAGAGGGTGGATCCAAAGGGACAGCCCAGGGAGTGGGGCGATCAGTGGCCGGCGAGAAGAGACAGCGTACAGCTGATCATGAAAATCCTATATTACGGAGTAAATGAGGTGGACGGATTGGTCTGTAAGGAAAGCAAGTTGATAAAAACGACTATTCATCCTTCCATCACAGCCCATTGGGAAGACTGTTCAAACACTCATCTCTTTGAGGCGCGTAGTTTAAGACTAAGCACCACACACATAGGACAGATATCTCAGATCCCTGGAGATAAAAGCATTGTAGACTATATGAAGAATCGATCTCTTCGCTAATGTTAACCGAAAGCAATATAACTACAACTTGTCGAACCCTGATCGACACTATACATGTAAAGCAGCTGGTGACTTCTGCACACTGAAGCGTCCAACCAGACCCGTAATCCTCCATGAGTGACCAGGATGGTGAGATTTCAGTTCAGCTCGTCCTTAATTGGTGCACTAAACCCAGAGTATAGGTAACATGTGTGCAATTTAAATAATACACGTTAAGAGGTTGTTAATGAAAATAACACGATAGTAAATGTATTGATACTGCCAGACACTTTAGCAGAACGGCCACGGGCTGCCTGCGCCTACATAGGGACCATGGGTCGCTTGCGCTGCACCACTTACAGCTCCACTGATAATACTTGTGCCTTGAAGGAATAAGACTAATTTGCCTGTATATGAAACCGGCGATTGATACGAGTCCAGCCCATGCCAATTCAACATATACATCACTTATTCAACAAGGGTAAAATGCATACCACACTACATAAGGCGATGGTTGGGCTGCAGTCAGTTCTACTGGCAGTCTGAAAACAATGCTCCAGCGGCATCCCTCTTCACTGCATCAATGCGCTTGGAAGAAGCCCGACGCGCCCTCCCTAAACGGAAACCATCCAATCGGCACGCTGTGCTGGAGAGCAAGCGTCCTTGAGACTGCACGTGTGCTCAGTGTCACACTTGTCTCTCTGCCTCTTTTGTCGGACTGCAGATGAAGTGGAGACTAGACTGCAAACCATACCGGCTGCTGGAGACTTTGGCGCGGAGACCCAGCAGGCCTTATTATCCAATGTACACGATAACCTGACTCCGATAAGACTGCGGACGGACAGGCAAACCACTAACAGAGGTCGCTGGGATGAAAACGAGCCCTGACCTCACTAGTGTATGGCAAGGCTGGTGTCAAAATCTGTCTGTTTACCTAAGCTTAGGTTCGGCCACAGAATCGACAAAGCCTGTGGCAGACGAGTCTATTTGTTTGATAAATACTCTCCACGATGTGCGAGAGTTTTGGCACATAATACTATCGAGTATATGGCGGGCGATTGAACTGGGAGGTAGCTTGGGGTCTCTCGCAACCATGTTAGGGGTTACGTGCTTTGCGATCCTCGCTGACTACCTACTCACAATACGGCCACTGTACCTGATACCACAAGTACGATGAACATGGTAAATAGCCAAAAGTAAACATTTTATATACGAAGCCGCAACTTGGTGGATCCCAGGTGTCCCACAAATGTGTGAAAAATGTGCAAACATCGAAAGTGACCATATTTCCTGCCAAAGTTTAAATTCCGTAGCTATTAACAAATGTGTCTCCAACACTTTAGTCAGGTAATTTCCTTCGGATAGGTTCGATTACATTGGCCAGGCCTTTGCCAAACTTCTGATACAATGCGCCTAATATTGAAATAATTGGTCATAAGGTGATGCCCTCCTTGTGCAATTTCGACGGTCCTTACTTTTGAGGAAGACGAGATGCTGGAGTGATCGGCTGTGTCAAAGTATTTGTGTGATTCCCTCTCACCCTAATTAGGGTCTATAATTCACGAACTTTTGACTTAACAACCTGTTCTCTTTTGTCACTGCCTGTCACATGATGAACGAGACGACTAGAGCCTACGAGAAATGTTTGCATGCTTTGGATGTAGCCAATTTTTCAGTTATGACGATACCTGATCCCATATCTTGTCTCCGTAATACAACCTTTTCATTGCGTAGCAATTGCGTTAAGCATTTCCAGTGAACCTTCGTCATGGTACGGCACATCTCAGTGTCCTCATCGCAGGACTGTTTGGCAAGGTCCACCATCATATTTGTAAAGCAAGCGCTTGTCTCCTCATTGGTCTGTGTTCAACTAGGCAAATGTTTGTTAAAAGGTGCAAACTGGCCTTGGCTACTATTCTACCATATTGAATTGATGGAACAGAGAAACTTAAACCTAGGGACAAGGTTTCAAGTTGAGGGCGACCTACGGGAGAACCGATATCTTGAGCGACTTATAACACGACATGCGCATGTAAACCCCAAGGAGAAACCATCAACAGATGTTCTTAAGAAAAAGAAAACATTGGCTAGTGCATGGATTTAATCGATGAAGGATTGCAAGAAACATATATTTACAGAAGATCAATGTACTGCTCATATTTGTCTGTGAAGTTTAA